TAATATGGAAAATATATAGTTATGCTTTAGCTATCCATGCACAATGCAATCAATCAAGTGAGACTATATACCGCTAAAAGATTGTGTTCTAAACTGGCCCGTTTTACAGCGGATAAACTTTTTACAGAGACTGTCGCGCGACAACAACCTTAATAGATGTCCTATCAATTTTCTTCGGCTCAAATGTTTTTTGTTTTTTCTTTCTGAAAAATCTAACGACGAAATTTGAAAATTGAAAAGATCGAGGCCTGCGTTTTCTATCCATCGAAGGACTTTATCTTGTTAGCCTAAGATATTTGTAAGTTTAAATGTGAAATTGTGTTACACGAACCACTCGAATGATTATAAAAAAATTATGATGAAAAAGAGAAAACATTGTTAAAGATATTGATTCCAAGGGATCTATAAAGTTTATACAGAAGAATAACTAAAAAAACGCAGTTTACAATCATTAACATTTGACAGTCCGTTTTAAATCTATATTGTTATCGACAATTAACTGTATTCTTTTTTCCCATCATGGCGGCTGGTAAACTGCGTATTTTCGATTATTTATCGATGAACTTGGCAAATCCTTGGTCAGAATATCAATATCTGCATTTACCCCCTTTAAAGATTTTTTCTCTTTGTTATAATAAAAAAAACTTTTTCCTCTCGTATACCCAACCTTTCGGGTCTTTACGATTTGTTCCCTTCCCACCCCCCAAACTCCCTGTACCGTAGTTGCCGAAGGGAGGGAAAAACCTCATTCGAGGGAAAAAACCTGCCCTGGTACAGTCGTCCTTTTGACAGGACTACCGCTCGATAGTGAAACTGTGAGATCAGAGCGCTATAAATTTTGACCGTCGGTGCCCGAGATCGAACTTGGATCATTGGCACTGTAACCGCACGGCCACTACCGTCGGTTCTTTGTTATAATAATTTTGTTGCAACCATTGAAGTGGCTTTCATCACCCAATTTGAAACCCAAATTTATAAATATTTTATAGTAACACGATAAAATTTAAGCCAAAGATTATGGTCGATAGATAATACATACCGGCCATAAATAAAATGAAATATTATTTTGGAATAATGATAATGTTTTTATGGATTATATTGATTATAGTGATTTTATAGATTCACTCACGTAATTTGTAGACATCAGTGAGAGGAACGAAGGCAACATCTCCCTTGTCCTGTGCCAGACACTTCAGGGCACCTTTACCACTGAACGCCTCGGCGTGATTTGGCTGACACTTAGTGGCTGTAATTATGCTATCGTCATTAGATTCGGCATTACCCGCGCATTGTTCGCAGAGCTTGGATTTGATAGGAGCTCCAGGGGCGCAAGAGGCTGCGAAAAAGTCCGAGACTTCCTCCTCAGACTTAACAAGTTTGGCATGGAGGAGGGCCGACACAGGGGCGATCCAACCCGCATAGTCCTCCTGCCAGTACCGATGGCACGATTTCTTCCCCTTCAGATCAGCTAAAAATCTCAGACAACTTTAGTTCGCGATAATCAATGGTTAATTCGTGGAATAGTTCATAATGAATGAACGATCAAAATTCGATTGACATTAATTTTTCAAATGGTAGTAAATGACATGAGGTGAACTCCACATCTCGAATCATCAGTTTTCAATCTTCACAAGCTATTAATTTTAGGGTCAAAATATCAGGAAACTTTTTTATAGCTAATTCGATTCTCGACAGAAAGATCTTATAATTTTTTTCCTTGAAATCAGTAGTTTTGAGGCCAATCGAATTTTCTCTTTCTTTTTTTTTAATTTTGGCGAATCATGAGACAGTTACCAAGTGATTTTATCGGGCTGTTCTTCTTGACGACCGCCACTGCGGGTTTTTCACTGAATTTCGTCTGTCCCATTCCGAAACTCTCAGCAACAATGGGTTTTACCTTGAAATTTTCGATTGCTTGTTTCACACTGGAGGCCTCAATGAGTGCAAAGTCCGCGGCATCATCCCTTATTGCCTCCAGACACTCGGTCCTGCTGTTCTTCTGGACACATTCGAGTTGAGGTCTCGCATCCCTAAGAGGATATTGAAGAAAGATAATAGAATAATCTAGCCTTTTTGGAAAAAAACAGTAGATTTTGTTTCTCCGGTTTCCAATTTTCTTTTAAAATTTATCCTAAAATTATTGATTCTGGATTGGAAAAAAAATCAAAAAAATTCTTCTGTAATCCATAGATATTTCGTCAAATTGCATATTGCGTCCGAGAGAATAACTTTCCACAATCTTATTATATTCAAGCACAATACCATCTATTTGGCATCAGAAATATTTCTTCTCATTGCAAACATTCAAACAGAAAAAAACGTAATCAATCGATATTATGTTATGCCTATATTATATTACAATCGGTCGTTATGAATATTAATTATGAGTGTAAAACTGATGAAGACAATGATCATTTAGAGTAGATTTACCTTGAATAGGCAGCACGAGCGAGAGCCTGGCATTTTTTGGGACTCCTGTCACCCCATACGCACCAACGAGCGGTTCTTTCAACTGCTCCAGAGTTCCTCTCGATGACATCGAGATATTTAGCGTTGGTGAGATGTTCCTCAGGTGCAACTGGAGCTGTCTTGACTGCGAGGGTCTTCTCATCCAGGAGTAGAATGTGTTTCCACCAGTTGGCATTCTCCTTCTCACCAACTTCACCGAGTTCCGTCAGCTCCTGGAGTTTTATTCATAATAAATATTGGCACTCATTGAATTTTATAAGTTGTAACTGACCTTTTGAATACCATCGATATTCTTAACCTTTCCATTGGTCATATATCCCTGCCATGGTCTGGCTGCCCAGGTGCACGGCTTCGTAACTGCATCAATAGGCACTTTAGTACCATCAGGGCAGAAGTACCTGTAATCACTTGGGTCCTTAGTCGCTGTGGTTTTACTCCCTCGTCCCACAGGCAGTCCGAAGAATCTCTTCACATAGATCACCTTCGTCCAGGCGACATCTCCTCCGTTCATCGATAGGCAACGCAGTGCACCCTCGTATCCTGAGTAGTTATCAGGATAATCGCAAACCTCTGGTTTCTCGCAGAGAGCACACATATTGCTATAGGTCTCCTCTAGAATTTCATAAGTCAGAAAATTACTTCTATTTATTATTTTATTATTATTATTTACAGAGGAAAAAACCCCTGAAAATTATTGAAATTCTAAGAATTTTCTTAGGAATTGCCAGAAAAATCTATTTAATTTAGTATTGAATGGTCATTGTCTCAAGAAAATTCAGTATTGTTGTATTCACTATTGTTTCACCGATTCTCTGAGTCTATTTTCGGGAAAATTGCTTTAATTATTTCCTGGAGTTGCGACTTTTTGTGTAAAACCCAATAACTCTTTCTTACATCGTTATATCTTTTAATTTTTGCTCCGACCCAATAAATTAGTGAAAATAGCTATACTGCATGTAATAAAAGAACAATTGTTTAGATTCTCTTACTTAATCTTGCATTGATAGATGGTTCTGGAGACCACTTTCCAACGAGACAGCCCTTGGAGAAGAGAGAACTGAGGGCTTTGAGTTCATTCTCCCTCGCTGAGAACTCAGGATTGTGAATATCCCCGAGAACATTCATCTCCGTGAGCTTAGTGATGGGAATTTTGTACCCCACATTTCTACCGACCCCAGTGTGACAGGATTTGAGACCGTGGAGGCCGTGGACGTCGTATATCTCCAGGTCCTTGTGGATAACGCAAACAGCTTCGTATCGGTATGGCTCGTCAGGCTCTTCTTTTGTCCTCACCTATTTTATTTTATCAGCGATAAATTTAAATTTTTTTATGACCGATGGTTGCAATAAATTCAAATAATCCACAGCATTATACCTCCACGTTCCTCATAAAGTGCTTTATTACCTGCTCAACAACATTATAACCAGCCTCAGCAGCTAATTTGCTTTTAGCTGCCAGATACATATCCTCAGGATCAACTGCAACAACATCCGCCTCATTCTTCCCGACTTTCTCGATACACTCTAATCGGTCTCTTCCAGTTACACAAGATATTGGGATTCCTTTTGACGTTGACTCCTGCATCATTTTCACGCAGTCCTGCTCGTAAATTTCCGGGACGCACATCGTAACTATTGAAGAGAAACAATTCGCTTCATAACATCGCAAATTCATCAACGTATGTTTTTATGCATTGAAGACTCGGTAATGAAAAAATAAAGATAAAAGTTAAGGTAAAAATACTCGTGAATGTAAAAGACATTTCGAAAGTTTTTCAGGACCTCTTTTGTAGTGTGGATTGGAATCTTCAGGAAAGGTTTACACAATAATTCTGCAATTTCTGTGAACTCGGATATGTTTCTTACAGAATTACTATTGAAAAGACAATAGAATTTTCCGCAAAAATGCGCGGAATTTAATTTAAGGACCGCATGTATCGTACGTAATTTTTGGTTTGAATATTTCTAAATTTGGCGCTCAAATTGTAATACGAAAACCTCTCGAATGGTTATAAAAAAATAATTATAAATGAGAAAAAAAATTGTTGAAGGGTGGCAGATGGGGATATTGATTCTAAGCGATCTGCTAGGATCACAGAAAAATAATTGAAAATACGCAGTCATCATAATTGAGGAAAAGGCTTACTAGGTAATAACAATATACAATTAAAATAGATTGTCATGTTACCGATGTGTAAACTCCATATTTTTAATGATTTGTTTTATAAACTTGGCTGATTCCTAGGATTCAATTTCTCCGCCTGTTACTCTTCTACAATTTTCCCGCTTTGTTATAACTATTTTTTTTATAACCATTCCAGTAGGTTTTGCAATTCAATTGGAAATCCTAATTTATAAATATTCTAGGCTAACGGGGTAAAATTCAAAGTACCGATTAGACTGGATCGATAGCAAATGCGAGACTAAAGGTGAAAAGAATCTACAGAACTTCAAATTTCTCGAAAAATGGAAAAACTACCTTGATGACCTTGAAGTTTTAAGGGAGTCCACAGAAAACTACTTGCGAATTCTCCTCATTCAACAAAATAAAAGTTTAATATATTTTCAATGGGTGGAGTATCTAATAACTCGCATTAATCTTTATGGATTAATTCAAGCCGAATAAGCCCTGAAATTTTCCGCGAAAAACATGAAAACCTGAAAAAATGGATGAAAATTTTTCAACCGAGTATTAACAAAAGGTGAATCGATTGAGAGTTACTCACAGGTCTTGGGGGGTGAGTCTGACCTGGCGACTGCAAGCAGAGCCAGGACAACAAGGACAACTCCTCGAGACATCCTTGAAAAAACGAGAAACTCCAGTCAACCGAACAGAATACCTCGAACTCTCTGATTCCCACCGTTTCCCATCCTTTTATACTTCGATCTCTGCAATTCCCCTGAGAGGGGGAAGACTGTCATCCACACAGAGCAGTTGCTTATGACCACGACAGTAAATCGAAAACACACTAGATCGATACTCTCGAAAAATCTGGGGTAATGGTAATTACGCAAGATATCTACCCCAGCCTTGAGGCAACTCATTCTGATAGACTTTTCCTCTTGACAACGTCATGTTACTTGTTTAGACTCACGGCCAGGGTCACAAAACCGCTGGGGAAGTTGTCCAAGGACACCGCAGCACACTGCAGATGCGGAAAATTGTAAAAATCATGGCGTAATCGATTTTTGGAGGAAAACACTGATGTTATTTGACTCTGGTGACCTCTTGGTCTTGGTCTTGGTGTTGATACCCCCGGAGTATTGTCGGAAAACTGGGATTCCCCGGTTATTATCAAAATCAGAAACGATTGGAAGAGGGCACTGAGTTACAATCGTCACGAAATTCATTCTGCAGTGAAGAGAGATAAGTTGACTGAGCACTTGCTACGTTTTTTCCAAAGACGCCAGAATTTAAGAGAGATTATTGATTTTTTTTATTAGAATCTTTATTACACAACTCACTCAGGCTTACAAAAACGGTTATTATGAAAATGACATTATCTTTATTCGTTTCCCTGGTACTTAATTTAATTTATCTCATGAGGAAAAATTAACGCATTGCTGGCTCATTCGGATTCGATCGCACAAAAGAATATTTTCTTTGGAACTGGGATATATGTCACACAAGGAAAACATATGGGCGGCTAGACATTAACATCTTGAGTGCTGAGATATCCTCGAGGTCAGATTTTTATGGAACAATGTGAGGACTATGAAATAATAAAGTATTATGAGTAGAACTTACTTTACTAGTACTTAGTGATGTGGTAAAACATCAAAGTGAGATGAATTCTTGAATATTTATTTATTTCTTGAGTATCGCATTCATGAGCAATAAGTTAATTAATACAAAGTAGAACAGCCAAATGTATGAGAAAATTAACAGAAAAGCCTTGCACTTTTAGCAGGAAATTATGTTGGACTTCCATTTAAGTTCTAATATTTCTCATTTATAATTTTAAATTGGGATTTTATTATGGAAAATAAACAAATACATAGCAGGGAAAATTCCGGAAATTCATACTTAAGAGTTTTTATAAACAAAATAAAAATTTGTTGACATTTTTCTATGACATAACTATGAAGAAAATTATAAATGCTATGAAAGAAAGATAGAATGTTGTAATGGAATTCTAATAGAACTGCATGAGAAATTCAATAAAATTTCTCTGGGGCAAGGGGCTTGATTCAATTAATTTATGTATTAATTTATTTATATTATTATAATGGAATACATTTTTCTCGAAGCATTTTATTATGGAAAATAAACAAATATACAGCAGGGAAAATTTCGAAAATTCATGCTCAAGAATTTTAACAAACAAAATAAAAATTTGTTGACTTTTTTCTATGATATAACTATGAAGAAAATTATATCTTAAAATTACATAATTCCTTATAGAAATGCTAGAATGTTGTGAAGGAATTCTAATAGAACTGCATGAGAAATTCAATAAAATTTCTCTGAGGGGAGGGGATTGATTCAATGAATTTATGTATTAATTTATTTATATTATATTAATGGAATGAATTTTTCTTGAAGCGTGTGGCGTCCTTGAGTCTCAAAGTTGGATATGTCTTGAGTCTGAGAAGCTCGAGGTGGGTCCGCAGGGACATAAGCTCTGCATAATTATCCTGTATCCTCTTCACCAATCTATTCCTTTTCATGATCGCCTTCACCTTGGCCCGGACAAAACGCTCCTGCCTTAGCCTCGCCTCGTCATTAGCCAACACTGACATTTTACAATTCTCAGCCTTAGCTTTCTCGATTTTATCCTCAAGCCGATCGTTTCTCTTCTGCCATAGATTAACCGTTTTTATAATATCGAATAGTCTGGACTTTTCGGCGGTCAAAATTCTTGAGAGTCTCTGAAAACAAGTCCAACGAGACTTGGAGATAATAAAAGTAAAAGTGGAAAACAATGTTGGTGTCTCACCTCCTGAGTCGATGAGAGTATCTTCTCGGAGATGTGTCCGTCCTTGTCGATTCCCCCCATGCTATCGTGACGCATCAGGTACATCTGTATCTCTCTTGTGACCTGTTTACAAATTTTTCCGTGGAATCACAATTCTCCTGCTTGGTTTGTATGGAAAAATATGATTATAACCACCAGATCTTTTATTTTAACGTTTTTATAAAAAAATTAAGTAAACAAATATCAACTCATTAAACACACAATTGAATAATCATTTTGTTTTTTTCCACTTTCTTTCAGAACTCTTGTTGAATTTCTGCTGGAACTTCCCAGAAATCCTCTTGATTCGTTAATTTTTTAATGAGAATGAACTTCAATAGAAATCCCTTGCGCTTTCTCTAAAAATTTAGTTTAAAATTGTTGTTCAGATTTTTTTCTTGAGATTAAACTTAATATGAACACTCTTTGAGATATTTTTTCTGAGACTTTTAATTGTATTTTCCTAACCCAGGGAGGTAAAATGAAAAGTTCTTAGTCAAATTACAGCCGAATCAAAGTTGAAGTTGATAAGCGCCGCTCTTTTATTCCACCCTCTGCGATTAGAACAGCATTTTCCCTTTCGGCATGGGAGAAAATGTCACTTTACTCCCACCAGGACGGATAGAGCATTTTTTTCAACCCGATTTGTACTCATCGGCGTGCAGTCTTCGTGGCCTCGTGACAACTTCGTATTGATGTTGCTTTGATAATTTCCCTCTAGCCTGTCAATTTGTTTCCACGAATCTATCACAAGATCCCGATCTCTGCCCATCGATCAACCAAAATCGGGATAAGAAAAATAATCCTCCGAATACCAGTCGATCCTCAAAATTAATTAAATATTCATAGATAAAAAAAACATTTTTGCAAACCTCATTGCTGCACAAAGAAACATTCAAGAAATATCCAATAATTTCGAAGCGCGGAGAATATTACAACTGAAAAATTTGCTGAACCTTAAATCAAATGCCCAGACAATTTCTAAAGAGTTCCCATCGAAATTCATCCAATTTACGGAGAAAGAACTTGATTTTCCCATTGGATGTTTTTATACGTAAGAAATGAAAGATGGATATTATAAGGGAATTTCCCACTATGGAAGATAATCGAGAATTGAAATTCAATGGTCCAATCGTTGAAATAACCTTAACACCCTGTAAAGTTTTCAAATCCTCCTTCAAATCCTCCAAAGTCATCCTCATACAAGCATGACGCCACTCTTGCCACTCAATGGTTCGTCGAAATTCCATCGTTCGTTTCATGGCCCCAAGTTTTTTACGTCCAGCTGCGACAATGGCATCATTAACTCCAAGCACCACGTCGAATGGCACCAGCACAGCATTATCCAGATCTCGAGGATCGCCGCTCAGCTGAGTCTCTATTTGTCCCATTGTCAAGACTAGTTGAACCTCCATGTCCCTCATCGCCTCGGCATTCAGTCGTTTGCGCTCTGTTATTGTCTCCCTCAACTGCTGGACTCGACTCTGAGAGTTCTGGATGGTCTTCTGGTGAGAGGAAAGGGTCTGCTCCGCCTCGGCCAACTCCACTGCACAGCTCTTCAACTTTATTGGGGTAGATAAGCTGATTATTGAGATTTTTCTACTCTCCCAACCTGTTATGCTAAATCCAAACCCGTACTCTATATTATTCCACTTCATTCGGGATTCGAGACACGACGAAAAACGAATATCAGTAAAAAATATATAACACAAGCGAATTTCATATATTCTTTTTATTATAAGAAAACATTAAATATATATGGAATATATATTATTAGTATTGTTTTCTTGGAGTAACACGAATTAATTAAATCTTTTCTGAATATATTTTCTCCAGTAGGAATTTTTGAGGGAAAAAATATGTAAACGGACTATTTGCACAATTATTTTTAACGGAGATTCAGCAGATTCATTTTCCGTAAACATGATTTTTTCACGTTTCCGGAGAATGCTTTAATTTTTCACTCATAGCTGAATGTGTAAAAATAACTTCTTCACAGACATAAATTAACAAAGATTTCCTTATTTACAGGCGTTCATAAGATTGATGGTCAAATCGATAGAAAAAGAGCAAGTGAAGGGCAAAAAAAGGAAATATTTCCACAGCGAAGGGGTAAAAGGTGGGAAATCGATTTAGCTAATAGGTTTTATTAGTAATCTTGAATGGAAATCGTCAATTAATTACTCACTCGAATTTCAATTTCCACTTTGAACCTTCGTAATTTGCACAGTATCATCCAGTGGCTTCCGTCGATTTGACTGGGAAGTCCACTGGGCATCACGTCCAGCATATCCATCCCCTTTAAAAAATCCAAGCACTCTCTCGGCAATATCTCCGACTTTTCACCACTCAAAATACATTTTCCCATTTCTCCGAGGTACGTGACTGACGTGCATGTCATTTGTCCCAGCCTCGGGCGTTTTTTGTACTGACGCAGCAGATGCTCCACCATCGGTTGCTTTAAATCCGTGAATTCACCTCGGAATTTTCCCTCGAGTAATTTCTCTCGTTTCGATAAATTGTCGTATCTGACACGTGTTTCATTTACAGCGGATTCCAAAGCAGAGAAATTCTCTGTTAGATTTTTTGTGTGGTCCACAGCCGGAGCTAGTTCGTTAATTTCCAGACTGGCTACGGCTTCCATCCCCTTGAGACGTAGTTGATGCCTTTGGCACTCACGGAGACGCATCAGGGTCTCCTGGAGAACTGCTGACTCTATTTTCAGACGTTTCAGATGGAGTTGTTTCATCTCTTCATTGAAATTCACTATGCTCGATTTGAGAGACTCTAAAAATTGTAACAATCATAGATTTTTCATAAAATCGAAGAAAAGAACGAGTATAGCCAAAAATAAGCACAGAAAAAATACAATAGAACGATATAGAAAAATTAATACTCGTAGAAATTTTTTTTCTAAACAAATATAGCTGCATCTACAGTTCAGAATAGTTTTTAATGAGAGAAGTTTCGGTAATATAGACACCAATTAAAAATTGTTCCATTCTTAATTTTAAGCATCTAGCAATAAATATTTATCGAACGTTATCTTTTGTTCAGATTTTATCTTTTTAGCATAAAATACATTAAGATTTGGGATCAGATTTGTGTTGTGGGGTGCACTTGAATGGACATGAAAAAATAATGAAAAAAAAGAGAAAAAATTATTGAAGGGCGCTCATGAGCGATGTTTATCGAAATGGATCTCTTGAGTTTACAAATAAATAATAAGAAACATGTTATTGTCTCTAGCTGTCATTTAATCCAGTGGAGGGTTTCGTATGTGTGCCAAATCCGGGAGATGGGCGCAAGGTACTTACAATATTTTTTCGTGTTGTTTATTCTTTTTAGTAAACTTCTTAGATCCATTTCAATAAATACTGCTCTTTAGCGCCCTTCAATAATTTTTTCTCCTTTTTTCATTATTTTTTTCAAATCATTCAAGTGCTTCCCGCAACATAAATTTGATTCCAAATTTTAATTTATTTGGGCTTAGAAGATAAAATTTAAACAATAGATGACGTTCGATAGATAGTCCACTCGGCCCTTAAACAAACACAATATATCGATAAATTAAGTATGTAGCAATTATTGGATTGAGACTGTTAAGTGGAATTGAAAATTAAAAAACTGAATAATTTTTATCATCGAATTGCCTCAAAATTTTAACTGACTGCTCCTATAATGTTTTTCAAGCTAAATTTATTATCTCCTTAAACAATTGAAAAATTATTTTCAACACAGTTACTGCAACAATTTAAATAAAAAACATGTCCATATTACTTCGCATTCCCTTAGTTTTCACAGAATTCCATTTCATACGATTCTGTCGAATTTCTATTCTATTAATTAACAATTCTTATTTAATCGTTGCTTCATGTAACTCGAAGACTAGCTCATTTCGTATTAATCAAAACAGACATCGTCACTTATACCTTCCAATACTTGAACTTCTCGCTCTAAATATCTTCGATATTTTTCCCTCTCCCTCCCCAGATCCTTCAGAGCACTCTCATAATTCTCGATAATCCTCAAATCATCTTCGGAATAAGTCGAAGGGTCTCTTGTCAGGCAATCTGGCCTTGCAATGTCCTTCTTGATCTCGTCCTCCCACCTAAAAAGGAGAAGGAACGATAGACAAATCTTGACGTCTAGCTGTCTGTATTTGCAATAGAAGAACAATCTCAACTTGACTTCAAGGACCCCGTCCATCATCTTCTTCAACTCCCTTCTCCGGAAACTATCTGTGAAGACGCTCGATTCACGCGTCACTGAATTATCCAAACGTTTCACGTTCGCCTCAGCCCCTGAATCATTTATCACTCTGTAAACTTCCTCATCCTCGACCTCGACCACACTCTCCGGTCTCTCCGATTCTTGCCACTCGAGTTTTAACCAACTGTGATCTATGGTACAATCCACTTGGAACATTTGTTTCAGCTCTGAGGTACAGTACTGGATCCTGGCGATCCGGTTCTTCGCTAATTCTATTTCAGTTGACTTACGGGAGCGCATCGTCTCAAACAACTTATTGAAATATATCTATAAATTCAGTAAAAAGTTACCACGTTCACAATTAAATTCTTCTCTTGCTTCAACTTAATAACCAAGTAATAAAATGGTTTAAGTCGAAAAAAGTTAATTTTACAGGAGAGGTGAAAATCTGATTATCGTTCCTTTGTTATGAATTTGTAAAAATTCATAAAAATACACCGTTTTCGTATTTTATAATTATTTCATCACTCAAAATTTCATGAGCGTACTCTGTGCGCCGCATTTGAATTCGGCGGTTCGAATTGACCAATGAGAAATTAGTTCTACGCGTTTCGAGATATTTCGAGTCAGAAGAGCATAGATATTTAAAAAAAAGTGTATTTTTAAATTTTAGACCATTCTACAGCATTTCCAAGCAAAATTATAATTTTTTTTTGGTCGGCATCGGACGACTGCATTCCATTGCGAAGCAAAAGTTATTAAATATGTTTCAAGGCTTCAACTCTTTCTGTGACCAGTGCGTTATACTCTCCTCAACCGATTTCAGTGATAAACTCATTTTATAAAAACGACTTCAACCGTTTTACCGCTTCGCTATTGAACTTCAAAACAGATGAAATCATGCACGAAAAAAAGGAAATTTCTATCTCCTTTCCGTGTTGAAGAATTAAAAATCTTAGGATTTTCTCTCAAATTTTTCGATGCAGTTGACAAGCACGGAGAAAAAAATCAAGGGGTCTAAACGGAAATTCAATTAAAATCTTTAAAGTTTACCTTTAATTTTTCCTCTCGTATTTTCCCCAGGATATTTCTCTTCACACCCTCGCAGTAACTACCGTCTCGTAAAATTTGATTTACAACGCGTGAGGGATCCTCACGTATCCAGCGGTGGGTGGTTGTTCCAGACAGTACGAATTTCTCCTCCTCGTCATCGTCATTGCCCTTCAGTAAATTCAGAGCCTCTACACATTCTTTTCCCATTGC